AAGTGCCACAAGGATTCTCTTGGCACTGGCCCTCTCCACAACTGAACTGTGCTAACGTATAATCATTCCATACAGTGTTAGTGGACGGTATGGTGTTAAGTGTCGTTGAGGATATTTGTTACGTTAGACACTTCACACTAACCTGTAATTAGCTACCTGAACAAATTTACATTTCACAACAGGTACTGTAGTGGCTACTGTGACATACTTGATCAGAAATCTGATTTACTAGGTCAAGAAAGACTTGCTACTCGTCTAATCGGTAGAATCTGGACTACAGATAATAATTTCGAAAACCAAGTTTGCTATCCGAATCTTTCTAGCAAGTTCTACTCTCCGAGCCGCCGAGGAGGAAACATGTGCTATTTCCCGTGAAAACTCTATTGGGAAGTTAGAACCCAGTTCTGGTTGAGGATTAGAAGTTCAAGAAGTGATTCTATTTCCAATCTGGAGCGGATGAAGCAATTTAAAACCATCAGATCTTATCAAAAAAACTTTAGATGATCACTCTGCAATGTGATTTGAAAGTAGTCAGCCTGCCATAAACTTTGAGTGGTCTTTTCCAGTTTCGCAGATGGAAGTTCAAGAGTTCGCCCAATCATAGTTTCATGGGNAAGTAAACAAAAACATAAGCAACAACGAGCAACCCTTTTCAGAATTAGAAATTAGAAGCGGCTGCGTTCAGAAATTTATTTGGTTGCTTGAACAAGTTCAAAAGGTCAATTTTTGCCATAGATGGTCAGGATGGCTTTCTTTAGAATTGGAATGGATCCAATTATTTATGTCAGACGACATTTTCAACCCCATTTACATCTACTTGTGAAAAATTTATTGTGAGATTTTCTACGTGGAGTGAAGAAGGTGGTACAGGTCTCATAGTCGAATTGCCTAATATTGCTAATCTGGGCATAGGCCCCATAAGATATATACAGGTAATCTTGAAATCTTTAAGCTTTAAGATTCCGTTTCCATTTCTGCAGCTTTTGCAGGAATCTTCTTTCCTGTTTTCCCACGAAGTGCTAGCCTTTCCAGCATGACTATCTCAAGCTGCTATTAACATATTCATACGGAAAATCATTTTTAGTATCTAATGGGATCATATTACGACATTAAGCGAGTCCTACGTTCAGCATCGCATAATAGCGTGTGAATCGGCACATTTGGAAATTCGATCCACTCTTAGAACCCACATGCACCATACACACCCACACGGCTCAAGGTGTCACTACTAATTATTAAGTGATCACCTGCTTCCTACCGTACACCTTGGAATATCTGATTTGGCCCAGATGAATATGTAACTACTGCATCACACCGACACTGTACGTCGAGGACCATAAAGAAATTCAAAACCCCAAGTATGAAAAGAAAGGAAGCAGGGTGAAAAAGTGCCGAACTGCAGCTTACAAAGTTCAAAAAACGGATTACTCATGTAGACTTTGTTTCGGCTTCACTGACAGCCCCAATTCAACCATTTCTTCGAGCTGACTAACTGGTTACCTTCGAATGGGTGCAAAGGAGAAGCTGATTTGGGCGTTGACTTCAGTTATTACGATGCCCAGGTGAAATTGCATCTATATCCCTTCACTACTCAGAGAGAGTCGACTACGAAGCGCATCCCAAGAGAGCTTTTAAATTCATCCATTTTTATCTTCACTATGATTCGAGGTTCTGGCCTTAGGGACTAGGTTATCCGCCCAGGGTAAGGGTTGACCATTTCCAAGATATTTTGACTCAACCACTTCAACACCCCCGTTATATCAACACCACTATCGTCTTTGCAAGGTACGGAGAATGGAGGCAACGGCTGGCAGGCGATTCTTGCTGCGGCACCAGCGACAACGGGCGGCTGGTTGATCGTATTAGTGAGAGAAATGTAGCGATTCGCTCATCATCTTTGGGTGCTTGGCACTCGAATTGATTCGATCAACTGTAACGTACTAATTGATTGATCGATTCCGTACACTAAGCCGATAATCATTACGCACCATTGTGTCGATTCAGCCACCGTCGCTGGCGCCAATACCTGCTGATACGACACGACCACGATTGATACGGTAGAACAAGGCAGGCAAGACAACAAGGGCCTAACCTTACACCAGTAGTTATTGGGGGAAAACAATAGATTGCCCAACTTATCGTAGCGTAATCTATTAGGAAAGCGTTTTCCAGGAAATGAGGCCAATGTGGCTACGAAAGGGTTACGATATTCTGAGAAAACAGTAGTTCTCTGTGGTACTCTGATGGTATCACCTCTGAACAATGAATTTTGCACTACCTCTGTCCTACAGTAACCCTTCTCGATACCCGTTGTGGCTCTCATTTCCCACAAAAACGTGTCGGCCAACGATTTGAGTCAGGAAGCTCGAGTTGGACCGTAGTTACTGGGCAGGGCTTGTACTAACTCGTTCCTCTCAGAGTCCCAGACCTAACCACCTACTCTCTTAATCCACTCGAGTAAGAAGTCATAAATGGAGAAGACAAAAGCCAACCTCGTGTGCAAGAAAATGGTTGCTCTCCGTGGAAACTACAGAAACTTTATGAACTTTGGACTACATCGATAGATTCTGAGTGACGACGATCTGATGAGATCCCAAACCTTGATCCGGAAGGATGTACCGTTTAAGATGTTGTGATTTCCAAATAGGCGATCGTAATCTGCGATAATTGGAATGGTTTTCTGGTTATGGGCTGAATAACGAGGGCTGAATGCGAGCGCGACAACCGATGTACGCATTCATGCGTGCTACGGCGATGCCAAGATCTGGCGCAAATCTTCGCAAACCCACTATCGCTAAATCGACACGACGACCAACACCATATTATAGTTTATAATTTTATGTAAAATACCTATGCCCTATGAATAACAGTGAATTATAAAGAAAGCTAAGGATTTGTCCTAGCTATCTAGGCCTCTCAATAGTTCAAATTACGGAAAAGCATGAGTGCATCGTCGACGTCCTTTCTGAAAAGGCAGATAAAGCTCTCTTGGATCGACCCCTTCCGAAACGAAGCAGGACGTTACCTTCCCTCATCAGCGCTTATCACCGACCAGCACCTAGACTGTCTGAAAACTCAGAGGTACCGCAGAGACTGTAATTGCTAAAGCTGATACTGCGACTGTTCAATCAATTATCGATTCGCACAAGAACAATCCCTAATGGAACAGATGAAGCCACTGATTTTCACAAAATAAAGCACTTTTCCTGGCAAATTCTTCGGCGCCGATGAATTCAGTATTCTAATCAGGAATAAGTCGCATCCGATTAGTACTCTCCGCACCCTCAGGGGAAAGCAAGAATTTGGGGAGTAATCCATGCAGATTCACAGAGTAACTGTGGGAAAACGTATGGGATTCCGAGTAACAAACAAGCTTATCCGTCGACGACGTTAAGTCCTCGATGCAAAGCGGTCGTAGAGGGCAAACCGTCTGACTCCGGCTGTTAACTACTTGACGACGTATTCGCATTCAGTATGGTAATCACCCACACATACAACACTGTCTCTGTTCGTAGTAGGATTAACAAGGTCGCACGATAACAGGCCGAACAGTCACGACTAATTCACTTAGCACAAAGGCTTTCTTTAGGGATTATTTGGGTTGGAACGTTATAAGAAAAGAAGAACCGGGTACGGTGGTGGATCGGAAAGTCTGAAGTGAACAGAATTCCGTTGCAAGAAGATAATTGAGCAAACGAATGAGGGAAGAACAGATTCCAAAAGTTTTTGTTCCATTCTCGGCCGCGCCTTACACTTGGTTTTTCTCAAGTCCTGGGGTAAACAAATGCTTTTACTACCTATCCCTTATTAGAATTCCTTTCATGAGAAGAAGGTCATCTAAATCCAACCAGCAGCCACGTTGGGTCACCCATACCTGATTTTCCATCTAAACTTCTACTCTTTCATCATATCTCCTACGCCCACATTCTTTACCGTACCTATTACAGTCTCATCGCTATTTCGTCATTCAAAACCAAACTTAATATTATCAAATAAATTAAAATCAGTGCTATGGTCGAAAGTTTTCAGCCGTAGCCGGCAATGCGAGCTTTAGAACTAGAAAAAAAATTCAGAAAAGTTTTAATTTGTACCGATGATGGATCCCGATTACGGTATTCTCTACAAAATCTATTCAACGCAGATAGAAAATTTAGTGGGTTTTTGCAGGATTCAAAGAAACAGTACTGAATGGCTTTCCATACGCCCAGCTATTTCTTAGAATTTAGTTTCAGTGTCAATGGCTCAGAATTTGGACCAGCTATGAGTGTTTCTATTCCAAATTTTTTTCGAGTAAGGCGATTGTCAAGCAAGCCCAAAGACGGACAGAATTGAAAGGGACGCCTTTGAGCTACCATGAAGAAGGTTATGCAAAGAGATCATATGCCAAAGGTTGCTAATTTTATTTATTTCTTCTAGCTTCTAGGAGATGATAGGTTTTTAGAAGCCAGGCGACCCCTCAGTCGAAGTTTTTTTTGGCTTTGGTTAGCTCAGAGAACAAAGCCCAGCCGAGTCTCGGCATGCGAGCCCGAAAAGCTTCAAATCGCGTTATTTTCTGATTGTCCTACGGCTTCTGAGCGCCTGTTGAGCTGAGCGCGATAGTCATCCTGTCGAACTTCTCCGGCAAACAATCGTTCGAACAATCGACAGCTAGTTTCGCCTTGATGGTTAATCCATCGGTTACACACAGCCCAACCAACCACCTGGCCGCGAAGCGACGGTTGTCAGCGACCAAAGCCTCCTACCGTACCCTCCCCCACCCCGAACCTGGCGACGACACAGCCTCAAGGACCGGCTTTTGACACGATTTGCGCTCTGGTGTCACTTAATCACATCGGATTATCATCAACTGATTCGCTACCCGTCTACTTATGCAACGATGGGCGAGACGAACGCGCGGAGGTTACGGTAGCGACTCCTTGGTGAGAAAAAACAACATCTTCAAACTATAACTCTCTTTATTACAATATATTGAATGACATGGCGATATACATAGATGACTACTAGGCTGGTGGTGACTTCTTTGGCTGTGAGGGTGGTGGAGGAGGTGGCAGTGGCGACGGTGGCGATTTGACGGTCGTGGTGGTCGCCATCGTCGGCGACGCCGTGTCGCTGACGACGGCAACTTTCGCCCGTTTTGCTCGCGTCGCCTCATCCTCGTCGCTCAGATCGCAATCGCTTTCGTCTGAAGCAGTGATCTTCGGCACAGCTCCCTCCTTGCCTGTCTCCCGTTTCTGCTTACGCTCTTTGGCGCGCCGATTCTTGAACCAGACCTGGAAGGACCACTATAGGGCTCAATTTCTTCTAGGAGCCCAAAGCGCTGACAAGGTGGACACACAATTTCCAGGACATTATGGAATCCGGGCGGGGATATTTTTCGTCCCCACAAAAAAAGCCACATCCATCAGTCCTGTTCCATATGAGAGAGTTTATGTCAATAAAAATACCACTGAGCCATGGACCCACCAACACCCAAAAAGGAAGTTTATTCTTAGCATGGAAATCCGTCGGAGAAAAAAAACTGAGCCATTCAACTAAAACGCTTTGGGAAATACTTTGAAATTGTTTAGGAATCACTTACCTCTACCCGTTCTTCCTTCAGATCACATTGTATAGCAAGTTTTTCACGTAATGATACATCGGGATAGTGTGTTTCGGTAAAAGTCGCTTCCAAAACCTTAAAATACGAATAATGAAAGAGAAACAAACAGCATCGGATTACTGCACGTATGAGGTTTACAGGAGTTAATTTAGATACCTGTAACTGTTCTTCTGAGAAAATCGTACGATGTCGACGTTTTCGTTTGCCATTAAAATGGAATGACGGCAAAAAAGACGTCATAATTGGTGTGGGTACAAGCCCATGATCTAAACGATAGAAAATTAGTTCTACAGGGGAGTTAGAGCCTCAGATTTTCCATTTATAACTTCGTTGAAACGTTGCACCGACTACAGACGTTCTACGCCGTCAATCGATAATTACCGTTAGGCACTGTTGTGGGGGGTTTTCGTAAACAGCATGGAGAAAACTAATTTTTAATAAAACTTCAAAAAATGTTCGGATATCCATTCAATAGTAAGAAATGGTTACATATAACTTCGATCTTAGCAATCCAGTTCATTGTGCTGATCGAAAAAAGTTGATAAAGAGCGAATCAGAGGGAACCAATGATGGCTCAGAAAAATTCTGTAGCATTAGATTCGTGAAAGCTTAGAACCACTCAGCTATGGTGAAGACAGAATCCTAACATTTATTCTAGGAACTTTTCAGATTTGTTAAGTTGACAATACGGATTCTATCTCGCTCTGCTGGATAAGAATTTAGAACTGTTGTTGTGTAGGTTTTCTTGATGAATTTTCTCCGAGTACTTTCCAACTTTTCTCAGCCCTTGAACAGTAGGGCAAAAACACCAATGCGGATCGTATCCAGGAGTCAACTATCAAAGATCAGGATTTCGAACGAATCAAGTAGTGCCTTGAATAGACTTGGTCAGATGGACCTCAGTAGGATCGCCCATTTGTGTTTAGCTACTTCTACAATTTTCGCTCTATTCTGAAACTGAAGGGCTTTGAACAACGGTGTCCGAAGCCTTAGATCAGGATTATGTTTTGGTGACATTACTGACATCTAGGAAAGACTGGTAGTAGAGATAAAGGAAGATGTTAAGCGGTACTATACTGGATGCTGTGCACAAACCCTGGGCCATTCTACTACCTATCCATGTTGTAGCCCTGAGCACAACGTCGACGGCAAGGGAATGACCACAACTGGTAAAGCTTAGTCCCCACCATCAAAAGGATTACGGTACCACTTGATTTTGTACTGTATAAGAAAGATCGTTTCCAATTGCCAAGTTCTGAGCTTATGTGGTGCTTTATTTGTTCTCGTGTTTTACGTCTGTTACGACTAAATTCATGTGCAGCTGCTTTTGCATTGTAACCTGTATTTCGAGCTAGGAACAATAAACAATAGTAAACAAATTTAATGCCCACACAGTTAGTTTGAAGGCTGCAGGCGTGTTGATTGTTTACGCCCGTCTGCTGACAGTGCTGCTACGGCCGCCCTTACAATTTACACCACAAGAATTCAGGATGGGGATAGTTACTATTTATTGAGCCTACTTTAAAACTGTGCATCAATTTCTAGTTGGTATACCGTAATCATAGTCAATAGCATCCCCATATAGGATTGCTACCATAACCGTATAGGCGAGCACAGTAACAGTATTAATCGAGAATTATTGGTAATCCAAGTATTTACCCCCGACTAGGGTTGTTCAATTGAAGAACGACGTAGCGAGTACATCATCTCAATGAGTCTAGTGGGGGCCAATACCAGCACGAGGGTATCTCGCCCTCTTGCTGTGCGCTTTGGCAAACAACGACTATTGTAAGAAGGCGCGATGCCACCGGTGTGAGCATCCCTTTCCTCCCTCTCTCGTTCGCCACTCGCCCCCACCTACTTCTCTACCGTATTACAGACAAGGATTAGAAGCAAACACCCCAGTACACCTCTCGACCTCGTC